TTTCATTCACAACTCAGAGTCGCCGCCTCGAGTAAGATTCTTGTGTGATATCTACAGGCCAGATCTGGTCCCATTTCACTTTGATTACCCTGTCAAACAAGTCAGCCTTCGCCCCTGCTATCTATCTATCTATCTATCTATCTATCTATCTATCTATCTATCTATCTATCTATTTATCTATCTATCTATCTATCTATCTATTCACCTCTCCAATCAAATTGTGTATGTAGTCTCGAAGAAGCACAATTCACAAAAGTTCTCCCACTTCACCAATCCGTATCGGTAGCGATTTTAAAGGACTGGACACCGAAGACCCATCTTAAATACCATCTAGACACATCGCATGACCATTAAACACAGGATTGGTCCAGGATTGGTCACCAAAACTAATTACCAACACATTGGCGTTTGTACACAGGACAATGACGGACAGTGAACATTAAGAAAAAAAATAAATTAATGATCAGTACCGATAGCAGGCAGAAAAGATTTTCTTAAACCGCAGAGCTCTAATATTTTTATTTCTAATTTATGTTTAATCGATGATGATTATTATCATATTATGCTTTTTGACGCCATCATGCGCAGGGCTTTAGGGTTATTACTATTCTTTTTTTTCTTTCGTTTGTTGAAATTGATTTTGGTTTATTAAGGAGTGTCTTTTTTATGGTTATGAAGATAGGAGATTTCGTTCTCTATTTTTTTTCTCTGTTTTTGATTTTGATTTTTTTTTTTTTGAGTGTAAGTACTGTTTTTGTTTTTGTTGCTTTTTCTGTTTTGTATTTGTCTGTTTTTTAATTTGTTTTTCTGTTGTTGTTTCTGTTTTGCTTTTAGATTGTTGACCATAAGTCAGGTGTTTTTGGGACGTTCCGTTTTCCTAATTACATGTTTCCAGTTATGTCTCCGAAACAAAAGCGTTTTTCTTTATTGCGTTTTACAGTCACTCCCCAGATATCACTGCCCTTTAAAACGTAGACAACCGCTAATTAAGTCAGTCATCATTAAATTATTATTATTATTATGTGTTGTTTCTTGTTCTGGTGAATCATTTTAGCCTCATCCAATAATGACTAAGAATTGCGTTATGTTTGATAGAGCATGTGTCATGACATGGTGGAATCAGGCGCTCGTCAATTTTTGGGCATATTGAGTTATTGGGCCCTTAAAGCTTGTTCATTTGTCTTGCTTTCAATGAAAAAATTGCCCGTATATCTTCAATAGAAGTAGGGATATTTTGGATTGACAGAAGTGGGGATGACTTGGTTTCAGAGGTAAAATTAGCGAGAAAATGGCGGCCAAAACGTGATAACTTCCAAAGCTGGAGAGTCCATTGAAACTGTTAATTTACCCTTTTTGTGCCTATATTTACTGAAAGTTTTTTGGTAAAATCCTCACTGGAATTTGTTTCTAAATGGACTTAGAAGGTCTTGAGACAAAAAAAAAATAATTTGGTAAAAATTGCAAAGCGTGAAGAAAAATGCTGTTTTCTTTGATTTCATTACTTTGACGAGCGCCTGATTTCACCACGATGCCTCACAAATAAATAGAGTCAAATTAAAGGTTCTTACCGTACTATGGAGGAATGAAAGACTCAATAATGGAAGCTGTGGAAGAAAATATCCCCCCCGAAAGCTAAAAAAGCTAATAAAAAATGGATGACCCAGGACATATTAAAACTAAAGGAAGAGAGAAGAAAGGCAAAATCAAAAGTGGAAAAGTACAACATCTTAAACAGGGAAATACAGAAAAAATTCAACGAAGCAAAAGAAACGTGGATAAATGATCAGTGTCAACAAATAGAGAAGAACCAAAACAAAGACAGCAAATACATGCATTCAAAAATCAAAGAAGTAAGTGGGATAAAAGGATGCTCAAATACATGAGGGTGCATGAGATCAAAGGGAGGGGATATTTTAATGGACAACGGGGATGTCTTAAACTGATGGTCAGAATACATAGAAGAACTTTTCAAATATAATAGAGGAGAAAAACCGGTAATAAAGAATGAAATAAATGGACCACCGATACTGAA